GCTTTGCTTCTGTGAAGACTGACAGCCTTGGAGACCCTGTGGTGCAGTTCCACTCTGTCCTCTAGGGGCGCTGTGGGTCAGAATGGACTCCAGGGCAGTGGGTGTAGTTTGGGCTTTGCTTCTGTGAAGATTGACAGCCTTGGGAACACTGTGGGGCAGTTCCACTCTGTCCTCTAGGGGCGCTGTGAGTTGGAATCAATTCTACAGCAGTGGTTGTTTTTTTCTTTTTTAATATTCAATGTTATCTAATGTAAAAAACCATTTTTAAAATGTCCTTAAAACACCACATTAATGAAAAGTTGTGGGTCAAACTACTACAAATGCTGTTGTTGTGAGCCATTGAGTCAATTCTGACTCACAGTGATCCCATGTGACAGAGTAGAACTGCCCCACAGGGTTTTCTGTTGTTGTTGTTCTTTGCCATTGAATTTCTGGGAGTAGGTCAGCAGGTCTTTTCTCCCACAGAGCCACTGGGTGGATCTGAACCACCAACCGTCCAGTTAGCAGCTGAAAGTTTAACCATTATTCTACCAGGACCAGCATAGGAATCGAATAATAAAGGAGGTTCCAAATTATAAAGATGGAATATTCAGAAATAAGACACAACTGGGAGCTCTGGTGGCATAATGTGTAAAGCATATGACTGCTAACCAGAAGGCTGGGAGTTCAAACCCAGGAGCCACTCCTCGAAAAGAAGGTTAGGCAATCTACTTCGGTAGTGATACCGTCTCGGAAACCCAAGGAGGGGTCTTTATGAGTTGGGGCCAATTCGATAGCAGTGGGTGGTGAGCACATATAAATGGGGGAGAGGAAGATATTTTTTAAGGTTACAAACATTCCTTCTGAAGTAAAGCAATTCTCAATATATTTCAAGTCATTACAAGCCCTAAGTCTCTCAGAAATTACAGATCTACTATCCTAGAAACACTCCCTCCCCAATAAACTGTGGTATCTACTGTGTTTCATACTGACTATGACCATACATCCTGATCACTGCTACTGGCAAAAGAATTTAATAATAATTGCTTAAATATGTGAACTATTACTGTACAGAAGTGAATTCCATACCACTATTAAAGTACTTATAAACTTATTACTTAAGAAAGGAATGATTTTTAATACAAACTTGGGCACTGACAAATAAACCTCATTTCTTCATTTTAAACCCAAACCAAACCCACTGTGCCAGAGGGTAGAGTGAAACTGCACCATAGGGTTTTCGAAGGCTGTCAGTCTTTATGGAAGCAAAGCCCAAACCACACCCACTGCCGGGAGTCGATTCTGACTCACAGAGCCCCTAGAGGACAGAGTGGAACTGCCCCACAGGGTTTCCAAGGCTGTCAATCTTCACAGAAGCAAAGCCCAAACCACACCCACTGCTGTGGAGT